CCCCCCCCCCCTCCCAAGGATCGATCCGTTATGGGTGCAAGTTCAGGCGATGTTTCTGCTGGCTGGTTAATTTTCACAAGGATCGATCTTTGCTGGGAAGAAGAGGTTGACACATTTGTGCTGGGAAAAAGGAAAGGATGTAAATTTGCCACTCCGTCTCGATCCATAAACGTGCAAAAAAAGAACTTGGCCAATATCCAGCCATCTTGACCTCACACTTGGTCAATAACCCATATTTATAAAGAGGTTTCTGGATTAACGGTGTCCTCCATGATCTTCATCGCATTTAAAGTTATTGACTCGTCGTACTAACGAGACCTCACTGAGTGTAGGCTATTGTAAAGTAGCTCATTCGACAGGTAAAACGAACAAATTATTGCATATGTAACCAAGATAGTCGTAAAATCTCCAATTTCCAAACTTGGCCAAAGTGAAATTTCGGTGGGAATACAGCCAGAAGAGGAACTCTATGGCTAAGTTCATTTAGATTTTTCTTTTACAAAAAAGGCATCACAGTTCCGCAGTTTAGTTTCTCGGGGTTCATACAAGTTATAAGATAAAAATCACCCGCGAATGATTGAGACGGGCACAATCAAAATTCGAGTTAATAAAATTGGGATAAAATATGCTAAATGCGTTATTTTACCCAGTTCGACAAGATAAATTTCAAAATAAGAACTGGCGCAGGATTGTAGTGTTTCAAACATTTATAACCTTACAAAAGGGCAATGTCCCTTTCTCCGCTGTCAAAACTACAAATTGTGACAGCCGACTTAAAATGGGACTCCTGTTTACATTCCTTGATTATTATTACTTTTTTTTCAGTTTTGAACGTGGCATGTGATGTGCATCTTCTGACCATCACTATCTCCAAATCAAGCCTAGGACCAGCGGTGAAGCAACTGTACGTGGGTCAGCGGATTGAGGGATGCACGTTTGACGTGGATCCAAGCACAGAAACGACTTTCAGCATACATGTTGACACTTGTGGAACGAAACGATGGACTCGTGGCAATTATTTGTTTTACAATAACATTGTGTACGGAAAGGCTGAGAGTGACGGTGACTCGCCGGTGGTTTACTCGGAAGACGTAACATTCAATGCGACGTGTGTATTTAACAGGAACGTAAATGTCACTGCCGCCTTTTTGCCAAACGCCAATTTCACCGTTGATGTGACAGGTAATGAGTCAGCCAACCTTTAAGGTTACCGTATACCTTTAAAGGTGTCTCACGCCGAAGAGATTGGGACGCTCACATTTAGAAGTCGTGGAATATTCGTCAATCCACGCACACAACACAAGCATAAGCACTTGAGTATGCGCAGTATGGATAATTGCCTTATTTTCGGTCCCATACCTCCTCGACACAGTACTGACAAGATGGCGAACGATGTTTATGCTTGTGCTTATGCGTAAAGCAGCGCGTTCTCTCTTGACATAAGCATACGCACAAACACAAGAAGAACAAATATGTTTGTTCTACTTGTGCTTATTCTCGTATTGTGGGACTCCTCACTGCTTTGCTGTGCTTATGCTTGTTCCAGCTCATGTCGTGTAGTGAAAACCACGCTTTAATCTTAACATAAATACATATGTGGCGCAAAACACAATTGATGCAAGTATACAATTTAACTTCTTCTTGTCGACCCTTCCTTATTTCCCTTATTCCCATAGGCCATTTAGGTCATTCCAAAGCTAGCCTGCGCTGCAGACGTAAATTTAACCCTGTAGGTCTGCGAAGCAGGTTATCCAAACCTTGGGGTGACTGATTTTTCAGTCTCAATATATTCGTCCATATTTTTAAAATCACAATTTCGAAACTGACCTATCAACACGTTTTTGTGTGGCCGTTACATATGATGTGTTTTATTTTTGTTTTTTCTCTCAGAATACGGCGAGTTGAACTTTTCAATGGCTGCGTTCAAAGATAGTGAACATAACGATAAAATTACAGCGGATGATCAGCCATTAGCCGTTGGAACAAGGTTATACATCAAAGTGGAGGTCAGATCAAGTAATGAAGAACTGGACTTGCTGTTGGAAAGATGTTATGCGACTCCCTCAACTAACAGACAAGATAACAATCAGCGACAATTAATCGTTGGAGGGTAGGAATAGCAGTACCTCCTGAGGAAGTCCTCTTGCGCAGACGCTCTTTAGGCTCGTCGTGCAATCTTACTATCCCACGGGGGAAAAGGAAGATTGCGTGACGCCCAAACAGCCTCTACGTACGAGGCTACAGAGTTTCCGGAAAAAAATGACATTCGAACTGCGGATAAAAGATTTAGAGACTAAAAGTTCGCAGTTTTCCCGTTCGCAGTTTTGCTCTTTTCAGGGCAAATTTGCCCATTGTTCTTCATATCAAGCGGTCCGTTGTTCGAGCCCTGGGACCCATTTCTCGAAAGCCCCGGAAACCTTTCGGGCCCGTAAAGCCATTTTTAGGCCATCCGAGAAGTGTATGCACCTGAAACTTCTTGTAAAACTTCTTCTGTTAATCCAGTTGATTGAGGAAGAGAAACTGCTTCATCCTGCTGACGTATAACTCCAAATAT